TGTCAACCATCTCAAAATTTGTCAAAAATACCACTTTTGGTACTTGGAGTTTCAGTGGTCTAGGAGGAAGCCCATCAATCCTCTGCCGAAGAAGGGTTACTCAGCTCTGAGTCAGTAGATTTGCCAATAAGGGAGAGGTGTTTTTCAGCTGAGAAATGCCTTGTGACTCTCCACATTTTTACCCTTCTGTGCATTGTCTCTGGAAGCCCATAGTTCCATCCCTTGCATAATTGTAAGAAGCAGTTCCTGGGATTTCAGATCTGGAAGGGACCTCGATGATGCCTTAGTGCAACCCCAGAGGACCTGGAGACTGAACAGACACCCCACCCAAGAGAGAGGGCAGCAGCTCAGCCCTAACCTTGCAAGTACGTGGCAGGCTCTCACGGGCTGATGTGTCTCACCTTTCGCTTGTCGTCCTGGTGGTGTTTTTTTCTCCCTGAAATTGCATCAAGACCTTTTGTCCTTTTGATGCTTTTTCCTAGTCCTCTATATTTCCATGACAGAATTATTTTTCATAGAGAAATATGTACCGTCTCCCATGGCAAAGGTACACATTTATTACAGGGCTGTGCTGCTAAAGCCCCAGGCAGCCAGGTCTTGAACACAGTATCCTCTTCATCTCCCTGGGCCAGGCATTACTGGAAACACGGTGGACAGCTGTGCTGCTCGGAGAGGGTAATTGGATTTCGAGTGAAAAGCAGTGTTTAAATGCAAGACAGGCAGGGTCAAATTCATTGCCCTCCAGGGCTTTTGGCCTTCCAGAAAGCAGGGTATGACAAATTACAATGTGTGAACACTGGTAGCTGTGATGGCCCCACCTGTTCTCAAGCCTCTGGGACAACCACAGTCATGTGACGTTTTAAGATTTATTTTGAAATTCCTTTAAGCTAGCCAATCCCAGGGTGTTCCAGGCATCCCATGGTGCACATGGAGAAGTGGGTTGTAATGGTGGTGTAGGGACTCACAGCAAAGTTCCTGAGTTCCCGGATTGAGGCCCTTGCAACTAAGAGCCAGGCTTTGACCCGACCGCAGGGACTGTGACCTGAGCTACACTTTCCCCTGCTGCTGGGGTTGTATCTCTACAGATTCGTGTGCAGGAACTGAAGGAGGACTTGCCTGTAAGTTTTCATGTGAGAACAAGACATGGACTTAGATTTGTAAAGCCTTTGAAATTTGGAGACACCCTCTGGCTCACTGGGAGTCTATACTTCTGCGATGCTGTGGCCCCCCATGTGCACTGCTACTGGGTCACCTGAATAGGTGATTCTTCCTGCTCAAGGACTCACTGGGTTTTGAACAGTTTTCTACCAAAGAAACTTCTATTCTTAAGCTTCTGACATTTGGGGGTTGATTCACCGGACTGACCGCAAGCTGCGAAGTCATCCAGCTCAGTCCCCATTGCTTACCCTCCCCTTTCTCTTTGCTCAGTGGGACCCCGAGGGAAGTTACCTGTCCCTGTGTATCAGCAGCGCTCAGCCTCCGGGGCAGAATCAGACAGACCTGAGGCTTCCCACAGCCAGTCCAAGTATCTGTTCCTCCTAGTATACCAGTGTTTGGTAGTCAGATAGGATTACATAAGCCCTCTTAGCTGACATAGTAGATTAACCACATGGCCCTGGCCTTTCACGCTGTAAGTGGTGCACCCATGATGTTGGCACCCTTAACCGACTGACTTCTCAGTCTTTGTCCTGTGACTCTCTGTTCTTACTTCTCAAGTTTCATGCTTACCAAGAGGATGCTAGATTTGTTCCTGGACCTGTTTATACAGTTAGTACCCACTATTGAAATGATGTGATTATTGAATGTCATGCGAACCAATAAGGCATGAGAAGATAGTCATTGCTGTGAGTTCAATGCTTTGGAAAGAGCGGGCTACCACAAAATACTCAATGAAAAAGGTAGGGACAGGCCAAGTGTGGATTCAGAAGGATTCTGATCTCAGATTCTGCCACCTTTGCTCCACTTTAAAGACAGGAAAATCGGTGTGACTCATGGTGGATAACTTGGAACTGTAGTGGGGGTGCCCACACTCAACGAAAACATCTGGGCCTCACCTCTGAAGGCTGCCCTAACTTGAAATCATTTAAATGTGAGATTTCAATTCATGCGATTCAAATTAAAATAACATATTTAAGTTAGGTACATGTCATTTTTTTATGATTTCCCCATTGATTGATTTTTCAATTAATGGACCAGAAGTGAGCTTTCACTGCCATTATCATCTCTTCCTACAGACCTCAGAAAACTCTTATCCAACATAATAACCACCTTAAGAGTCATTGTTAAACTTTAATTATTTCCGTTATAACATGATAGGGAATTTAGGAAGCAGCATTTGATGAGCTCTCTATGTTCAACTTGGTAATCATAGTGCAGTCTTTATTTGAATACTGGTTCATTTCTTGAGTTTCACACTAGTTTGTTTCATTGACAGGACTCAATGAAATAAAGGCTTTGGGAGGCAGTGGGAATCCAGCCGAAATATTACTCTGCAGACGTCCTGGGACCAAAAGCCTTCCAGGGTAACTTCTGTTTGCAGCAGAAGTTTGGCTGTTGTAGGGATGTTTTGTCATTGTGATCACTCCAAAGGGAGTGATTTTAAAAATCAGGAAAGAAAGATCTAAAATTCCACTTTTCCTCAAACACTACCTCTTCCAGGATGCTTCTCCCATTTATAAGGGGGTGACAGTTGGGTCTGCTGGCTATCGAGGGCCACATCTCTATTCAGTTTCTGAGGATGCCACCAAAATCACCCGTCTGTAAAATTGCATCTGCAGTAAAATTCTCAATGAGTAGTCATGCATTTTCCCTGTTCATATGAGATAATCAGAGCAATCACAGTGCCTCACCCTCTACCTAGTGAGTCTTCCTAAATCTTGGCAAATTCCTGTGGTGCTTGGTCACTCCCAGTTCTTTTAGCAAGTGGACCAGTGGCTGATGTATTGGGATTCATGTAGAGTGGTGGTTGAGCCAGTTCGAAACAGTGACCACTCGAGTAATTCCTGAAAAGACAGATTTCTGCCCTTCAGACACTTACTCAGTCACTTTTAATATCACTTTTTATAGGAGTGAGTTCTGGATTTAGAGCTAAATTCATTTATATTATTTCAGTTATGTTAGACAGTATTCATATTTATTTATTTATTTATTTATTTATTTATTTATTTATTTTATTTATTTATTTTCCGATCACCCACAGAATATTACATAGGTTTAGGCTGAACAGCTCATTCTCTGATCCTACCCTGGATGTCTTGACTCACTGTTGCTTGGTTGCGTTAAAGACAGTATGAACTTTAGCTCCCGAAGTGACAGAAGCTGAACTCTGAGTATGTGCCGGGTCATCTGCACTCTACACTTCCTAACATACTGATATTGGTGAAGGATAGTTTTGGGTCAGCATTATAGCCCTTCATTGTTGATTCAGAATTCTCTTTTGCAATATGAGTGGAGTGAAAAGTTTCCCATTAAGCAAACTTCTCTGATCTGTTGCTATCATTGCGTTTCTAATTTGGAGGAATTGTTGAAGAAAAGACCTGCATGGATGCCTCATTTTAACCTCCTCATTGGCAATTGCCAAGAACAGTCAGCAGCTTGGTGTGCCATGCCAGGCTGCTGCAGGGGCCCCTCCTCCCTTCCTTCTGCCAGGAGGCCTTACCAGTTTGTGTGTGCCTCTTACAACACTCTAAGGTGGGCGTGGTTTCTGTAAGGTAGGCTTTTTCAGCCTCATTACTACTGACGTTTGGGACTGGATAGCTCTTGGTTGGGGGGCTGCCCTGTGCAGGCAGCACAGGATGTCAGCAGCATTCCTGGCCTCTACCTGCTAGAGATAACCAGCAGCAGCTCCTCAGCTGTGGGCAACTGAAAACGTCTTCTTCCAGACTTTGCAAATGGCCCACTGATTGAGAACCTCTGCGGTTAAGGAATGTGCTAATGTGGACTTCGGTGCCCATCTCTATCTGTGGTTTCTTCTGCCTCCTCCGAGACAAGGTCTCCAGGTGACCCAACTTTGCTTTTGCTTTTAAGGAACCTAGGCCGGAGGCTGGGATGCTCTGTCTGGATCGGAGGCATAGATGGCCAGATCTAGGCTTTCCCTTGGGGGAGAACCCTGATGGGTTCAAGATTGTGTAACCTCAAGCTTCTTTGCTCTCCCCATGTCTGTGTTCTTAATGTAGAGGACAGTAACTTTGAGTAACTTTTTAGAGGGTGTTTGGTTTGATAATTGTTTTTTGATAATTTGGTGGATCACTAAAATTATTCTCCAGTCTAAACTTTAAAAAAAAGAACTTATAACATTTCTCACTACTTTTATATTTTGTTTGTGAAAAATTACATTTGCAAAAAGAAAAGAAAAAAGGATAGCAATCCTTCTGAAGGTTTCGACTATATCTTAAAATCCTAAATTACTGATGAAAGCCAAACACAGCTTCTTCCTGTTGGGAGTTTCTGCTGTATTCTTGTTGATGTCAGTCATACAAACAACAAATTAAAAACCACAAGAACAGCTGTAGGGGCTCTGGAGAGGGGATTCTGCCCGGAGACAGGCAAGCGGCACAATCCTTGAGAGTTCCCAGGAAATAAAATTCCACATTTGGTGTGAGCAGCCCAGGTCTTCCCATGGTATTCCTAGCACATATGGTGTGGTTTCAAGCCTTTGATCTATACCCTCTGAAGGGACTGTATTTTACAACCTTTCCAGAACACACAGCCCAGGGCTCATGGCTATCAGTTCCAAGGGAGCAAGCCATCAAACTTATACCAATTCTTGAAACCACTAAGATACATTTGCAAGATAAATGGGTTCAAGCTCTCCCACATCCCATGGTTCTATACTTGGGGTGGAGTATTTGGAGGTAGCTTAGAATTACAGTCAAGTAAGGTCCTTCCTTTTTTGTCCGATAGAATCATCCCAGCATGGCCCCAGATTGTTCTTGCATTTGTGGGTAAACATCATTTGTCACTCATAATAAGAAAGTGGGAAGAGGAGAACGTTAACATACCTATAGATAATACATGCACTGTTCCTGCATGTGTCACAATTAGCTGTGTCTTGCCCCGTCCGATATGAAAGCCTACAAGATAAGAACAGGAGAGCATTACAAGCGGTGGCTGGGGGTCACTGGCTTTATAGAGCAGATGCCTCAAATCAGATGCCTTCCCAATGCCAAGCTCATCATGGTCATGGAAATTGATTAATGCGTGTTTCCCAGTTTGCTCCTGTCTCTGCTTTCCTTGTACAGAACCAATGCAACACTACAGCTAAGATGGTATTTAAATTAAATTTAGAAGTGAACATACGCTCCTGAATGAAGTAAATAATATAATTTTGTTATAAGCACAGGGAATTTCAGATGTTTCAATGCAGATTTATGGTGTTTTGAAGAAACTTTGAGGAAAAACCAACCACAGATACATATGCTGACTCCATGGCTTATGTTTGCTCTACCCCCGCCTGTCCTGCTAGAACCGGGACTGGCTAAGTGCGGCCTGCAGGCCAAATCCCGCTGGGGCCTGGTTTTATCCAGCAAACTAAGAATGGATTTTACATTTTTAAGTGCTTGAAAAAGAAATTGAAAGCATATAATATTTGTGACACATGGAAATGATCTGAAATTCACATTTCAGTGTCCATCAATAAAGTTTTTACTTTTGTCAATAAAATGGTGAAAATTTTTATGAAAATGCGTATTTCTAGTATCCTCAATTTTGCCTCTTGGTCTGCAAATCCCTGAACATTTACTTTCTGGCTCTTTAGAGAAAAAAAAAATGCCAAGCCTTATGTTAGAATGTCTTACTGTCATTGCCATAACTTCTGAATTACTTTCTCGGACTTTATTCTCTGGTGAGTTCTGTCAGACCCCCGAGGCCAGGCAGATTTTGGCCTTTGTGGGGGAGGTTGCTGATTCTCCCCCCTAGTTAAAAAATTAATAATAATAACCTTGGGGTCTTTCTGTAGTAGATTGTTGAAGGTTGTATACACATAAAGGGGTTGATGATGAGAATTTTCTGGACCAGGCTGGAGTTGCCTTGGCTATTTCTTGGTCCAGCCACCCAGGAACAGTTGGGGGCTATTTTGTGCTCTCACGGTTTCTCCTATTTCATCCAGCCTTTCCTCTCTGACATTTTTAACATGCAGATTTGTATTTTCTGAATATTATTTTATGTCCAGGCACAGACATGATAACCGGAATGTTAAATTTGTGGCAGGAGAAAAGCTTCCATCTGAATTGGCTTATAAACACTTTGGGGGCAAATTTCCATGTACAGAGCTACTCACCAGAGTAACAGTGTGCACAGAAAGTCTTCTGTCAACATTGCTAGTCAGTATTTTTTATCCCCTTTGCTATGTAAACTTCTCTGCATCATGGGTTCTAAATTGAAAATAACTTGTTTTCCTCATTATATTTTCTGTTACATCAACATTTGACAAAAGGATTGTCTGCTACATGCCGTGATTGTCTCAGTGGGCTTGCAAAACTCAGAGCTGACCTCTCAGTTCCGTGCAGGTCGTTGATCAAGTGACCATATTCTGCTCCAAAGTGTTGCCAAGCACTTCCTGTGATTCATCATATTTCAACCAGAATTGGAGTGACAGTATGGCTGTCTCTATTGTCTTTTCATCATCACCTCCCACTTTGGGCGCCTTTGGAACCCCACATCAGGCCATTCCATTCTCCCGTTGGCTTTGTCAAGGGAGACGGGGATGAACAGCCTGTGTCTTATCCCTTCCCCTTGTTCCTCATCAGACACGGTGAGTTTTCAGTCCTTACCCCTTTCCTCCTCATGGCAAGCCCCAAGAATGCATTCTTCCTGCACCTTCCCACCTGGCTCCAGACTCGTCCGCCCCATGCCAAGACTCTTCCACATCATGACATCACTCTTCTCCCTTCTCTCTTGCCCTATATAGACTTATAGCCTTTTTCCATCAGCTAATTCTACTGGAGCTTGGCTCTAAGCTCAGTGCTGACCAAGGTCATTTTGCACAGTGAAATAAGTGCCACTTGAGCTCAGGTGCTAGCACGGTCCATGCTGAATGTGTTGTTAAACCGTTGGCTAGGGTTGCATATGAGGTACTGCTCTACTATTGTGTTGTGCTGGTGGGTATAAACCTACAGCCAGGAGAAAGAGTACCTAATACTTGTCTATAGGTGCTAGTCATATCCAAATTTTAGGTTCTTACAGTGGGCCAAACCGGGGGTATTTAACAGTTTTCTGAAGGCACTCTTTTTGTGCTTACAGGAAAGTGTGAATTCTAAGCTTATGGCACCTTCCTGCCCTAAACCTCAGGGCAAATCTCTATCAAGCCTCATCAACATCAACACTCCTTTCTCGCCCAGTGTCCAAGTTTCCCAGTGCCTCACTTGCATTAGAGCCCTGAGCCTTCTAATTATGCTAGCCTCACTTACAGAGGAGAATACAGTCACACTTCAGGTCCAGGATCTCATTATTCTTAGACCTCAGGCTTCTCATGCTCCCTATCACCTTGCTTGTACTCTGGGGCCGGTGTTCTGCACCACATGTAATTGGCAGCTTGGGATAGGCAATGGACCTGACAATGAGAGGACAAAGGCTTCAGGCACCTGAAATGTACAAGAGGAATCTTCCAGGACCTTGGAGTTCTTCAGTAAGAAGTTGCTTTTCTTTTCTTTTTTTTTTTTTTTTTTTTTTTTTTTTTTTTTTTTGAGACCAAGTTTTGCTCTTGTTGTCCAGGCTGGAGTGCCATGGCACGATCTGGGTTCAAGCGATTCTCCTGCCTCAGCCTCCCGACTAGCTGGGACTACAGGCATGTGCCACCATATCCGGCTAATTTTGTATTTTTAGTACAGACAGGGTTTCTTCATTTTGGTCAGGCTGGTCTCGAACTCCCAACCTCAAGTGATTTTCCTGCCTCGGCCACCCAAAGTGTTGAGATTACAGGTGTGAGCCACCGAGCCTGGCCAAGAAATTGCTTTTCTGAAGCCCATCCTGAAAAGACTTTACTGCAGTCACTTTGTAGAAAGCACATACGTCCCCGTTACCGTCAGTAAGCAAATAGTTATTAAGTACCTACTAAGTGTCATACATTTTTCTGGCTCTACAGGAGACATTTGCAAATAAGATAGAGTCCTTTTCCTCACAAAGCTCACCATGGCGTGGGAGTGGCAGAAGGGCAACATAAATGTATGAATGAGCGAACGGCTAGATAATTTTGATACTGCTGAGTGTTAAGGAAGTGTTGTGAAGCAGTCTGGCCTAGAATGAACTCTAAGGAGGTGACATTTTTAGTGAGACCTGGATGGTAATAAAAAAGCAGTCAGTCATCTGTTGATCCAGGGTTGGGTGTTGCAAACACAAAGACCATCCCGTGTTAACATCCTGCAGTGGAAATGATGCTCCTTCTCTTTGCAAGTCAGAGAAGAAGGCCAGATGCGGCAGGTGAGAGTGGTGAGAGATGAGGACATGTGTATGAAATGAGAGGCCCTCTGGGCATTATTTTAAATTGAATGGGAAGCCACTATAGAGGTTTTCTTATAGGTGGTTGAATGACGTGGAAACACTTCTTGACTTTTATTCTCTATCTTCTCCTTCTGTAACATCATTTTCACTCAATGTCCTTTCTCTTGCTTCCTTTATTTACAACGCAGCCCAATTCACCCATTCCTGAGAAAATGGCGTGGTTTGGCTGATGTTTGTTGGTAAGAAGCAAAGGAGTCATTATGTTTTCTTTGTTTGGAGATGTATCTGTGGTCATCCTTTTTTCAGCTAGTTGGAAACATAATGGATGGTCTGTCCGTTTCTAAATATATGTATGTTTCTGCCATGTGCGAGAATTATTTTTAGGACTTCATTACCGTGAAGGTGAGGTATTGTTTAAGTTTTGTTTAGGATCTTCCTTTTGTTTAAAGGAATCAATTGTTTGGAGTCCATGAATGTCAGCAGGAGATTAATTTGTGAATAAAATTTAAAGTGTTGACCTTGTCATGTGGTTAATTCACAGGCAGCTGCCAGCAGCTGATGTCAATCAGGGTATGCCTGCTAAAATTTTATTAAGCACGAGTGTTCTCAATAGAGGGCTTAAAACTATGTAATCCATTGTGCTTATTGCTTTGATAATCCATCTAATTGTCCTTGAAGCTTCCAAGCTGTAGGGTTTGGCTTCACTGATAATTTTATGGTCACATTAATAATTGGGCTGCAGCATCTGAATATGTTCTCCAAATAGAGATGAAACAGATAAGTTATTTCTACAGGACAGGGAACACAGAGTGCTGTTATGGAATTTCCCTATTTTTTCCTTCTTCACTTGGAAACACGTCAGAAAATAGTACTTTGAATGATTCTCTTTCTATATTGCCATTGCCATAAGGCAGAACAATCTAAAAACTTTAAACTGCTAGAGCAGATACTTCTCCAGTGACTGTAGGGCTGGAAATCTTTTGTGAATTAGAAGTTTAGAGAGGAGAAAGCTTAGGTTATTGATGTAAAAGCTGCAGTAGAAGAACATTTGGGTCACAAATTATAAATTTTCTGTCTTGCAGATTAATTGCTACCTTTGTAAAGCACTCTTCCCTTTTGCTCTGAGGAGCCTGTATTATACACAGGCTTGTAACTCCATGCGTGATACAATACCTGGTACCTTCTGGGCATTCAGTTAATGTTAATGTAGCCAAGTCATAGAGTCCATGTTTGTATTTTCGTATCGAAGTCCAGAATAACACATCTATTTAAAGAATTCCAACTGAGTGTGGAAAAAAACCCTGACAAATATAAATTGTGAAAAGTGCTAGTCTTCATTTTTCTCCCCACATGAACTCCTTTGGGTGCTAATGATAAGCATGTCCATTGTAAATACGGATTTTGTGGCATTCACTATTTATTGTCCCATAGCAGTTAGTTGTAAGTATTCGCTTAACAATGCATATAGCTGGAAAACATCGCATTCAGCACCAGGGACAGTGTCACAAGTCCAAGGCGCTCTCTTTTTTTGGTGCTTTTGTTTTCTGTTCTGTTGACCCTCTAGCCTCCCATCCTTCTAGAACTGAGTTTTATCCCAGGGACCAATCTGGGGACCCTGGACCTCCCCTTGCTTGAT